ATCACCAGCCACCACCCTAACTTCAATAGACGAGCCATTGATTTTGAGGTTAGAGCCGCTTGACTCGTGTAATTAAAAATAAATGTTATGTGGCCAAACGTTATTCGGTGCTCCAAGCAATGTTCTTAATGGTTTAAAACTTCATTAACGTTAATTAATGAACGCAATCATCAATTGAATTTCCTTTAGTTATATGTTAAAATCGAATTTCAAAACCACCTTTATCTTACATTCGGTGTCTAATACATTAATTTACGCATAGGTATGCATTCATCCAGGGCCACTCAATTTACAAACTGGAGTTGCCATCAAGCTTTTGCCTTGGGATGTTTTTAAGTTTGCTTTAAAACTGACCAAACAAGTCGCAAAGACGACAAATGTACACTCAATTTTATGACGCGAAATCAACTGAACAGACCTTTTTAGCTTGGGTGGAATGTTTTCTCATTACAAACCACATAATATTCTCTAGAGAATTGTTCTTTTATCCATCTAAAAATAATTCATTCATATACACGCGACTATTTCAAAATTTGAAAGCGAGAATTCTCAAGAGTATCATCACAATGTTTGAAATGGGGCAACAAACCGCCCAAGCTAAAAGGGTTTAAAAGTATATTGCACAACAGATGCGCGGCAAATTTTTCTGGCATACATTAATATACATAATTTTTACTCCTCCCTTTGAAAAAGTGAACTTTGATTAGTCAGAATATTTAAACATGTCGTCGAGACGTTATGTCGCGCGAAAGACGGCTAACCGTTTTGGAATACCTTTAGGTAAGATTTTATGTACATCGTTTGCTTGGTTTATTGAGAACAAGTAACAGTAGTTTTAAAGAACTTCATCGTTCAAACATTTAATCTGACCTGCTATTCCAGTTTTTATTTGCGTCAGCAGTGAGTCCACAAATAGACATTTTTGTGTCAATTCATGTAAGGCACATTTCACTGCTGATAGTTATAAATAAGGTACAAAGTTGACCGCTATTGTAAAGACACCTTTTAACGTTATCGTAAACTGAACCTTGCCACTGAAAAGTGAATTTATGGTAAACTATACTTCCCGATTTCATTTACGAACGACTTTGCAGTCAAGCGTACTTCCAACTCTCGCATGCAATGGAATCTCTAATAGCTTTGCTGTAATCCGTGGTAAAGGACCTTGGACCGAACTACGAAGACCTCGAACTATTCAATTATTTTCGCTAGAAAATAAATAAACTTTGACAGCCTCTTTCGATGATCTTCTCTGTTCTTCAGCCGACCACTTCATGGTTGATTTCATCCGATGTGCTTATTAGCTGGAAACAACTTAAACAAAGAATTTACATGAGAATACAGGAGTTGATATTTAGATGCAGATTTAAGGGCGTAGAATTGTGGGTGTAAACTGATTTTACAAGTCTGGGAAAAATCGCCCCAAGTCCCGCAGTGCTGTTATTTTAAACACACGATATCGTAATTTAGTACATGGTCCTTAACTGGGACAAACTATCGGAAGGTCTTTGAAAGTCTCCGAACCTGGAATTCTATAGACAAGATACAAATAGAAACTTTGCATAATCCAAAAGTTTTGCGCAGTTTTGAACACGCATCAGTGCTTTGTTCGCTACTTAATATTAAAATTGCGCACAATTATTCAAACCAATGCTGTAAAAACCGCGCCTTTTCCATTCTGGACTGACGGAATCGTGTTATTTGGTAACACGATACAGCGAGATCACGAAAAACAAATTCCGATCGAGAGGAAGTCACGACATCCGTTAGTTTATATAGCAAAACTGCGGGTAGCTTGTTGCTCACTCGCCACACTTAATTCGCACGCAGTTTTGCTCAGTCACTGCAGCGTAACACTTAACTGTGATTCACGATGAAAGGTACGTTTTAAATTCGTTATTATTCCGCTCTTTACGAAAAGGAAATTGCGTTTTTATTACAGCAAGTGGAAGATTTTTAAGCGCTACGATATCCAGGAAACTTATGCTAAATCCTTGCGCTTATATTCAACTTTGAGAGCTAGTTCCCACGACAATGTCGCGAACTGTTTGGAAACTTCGACATTTTTGAATCACTTTGTTATTGTCTCGCGCTTAATAGTCCGTTGTTTTTCACATTAAACAGCGCAAGGGCTATCTACAGGCTAGTTTCAGAAATAAATTCACAACCAATTTCCCAACTTGATAAGAGGATTAGAATTTATCAAATTCTTTTTGGAGGTCAGTCGCATTGCTTAACAAGGTGAA